TACAGCTAAGCTGAATTCAGAGGAGAAAGGAGAGTTAGCAGGGCAAGGCATGAAGGGTTTTCCAGGCAGGAAGACTAACTAGGATAACAGTGAGAGAACACAGTGGATGTTCAAGGAAAGACTGTTCAGAAGAACTATATCTCAGCGCGTGTACAGGTGGGCAAGGTGTTGGTGCTGGTGTATAAATGGCAGTACATGGAACTGAAGAGACAGATAATTTTAAGCTCACATACCGCTGCCTCATACATAAAAATAAAGGCAAGTGGATTTCCTCAGATAATGGAGACAAATATTTTAGGAAAAAGGAAGCAAGTTACACTTTGAGGAACTACACTTTGAAGAAGGATGTGAAATGCGGGCAAGGGTACCCAAATGGAGGCTAGGTTAGTTAAATTATTTTGGCTAGATATGATTAAGAATAATGTAATGGAATATGAATAGGTAAGGGATAAGAGGAAACTGTCTATAACAGGAAAACACTACTGACATTTTAGACCAGAAATTTCTGTGGTTGGGGTGGGGCATGGGGCCATCTGTGCATCGTAGATATTTAGTCCTGCTCCAGTTGTGACAACCAAAATTGTCTCCAGACAATGCCAAATGTTTCCTGCAGCAGATAACTGCCCCCAGTTATCTCATCAGCTTAGAAGTGATGGTATTAAAATACAACCAACTGAACTTGGATGTGTGGAGAGGATGGGAGGGGAAATAATGGTTGACTTAAGCATTTCAATGATGACATAAAAGATATATGATGGCAAAGTAATTTGTAGAAAGAGCAAGTTGGATTTTGATGAAATATGAAATACGTTTGAGACAGCCTAATATGAAGCCCCTAGAGTCGCTCTGTGGGTGGGTGTGCTCAGAGGAGAGATGTTAGTTGGAGATACAGATTTGGGAATTCTTTGCATTAAGACAGGAAGTAATATGGGAGGAGATGTGCTCTCTAAGGGAGATTTGTGGGGTGTGGACAGATAACCAGTAGGAATTCTGTGGAGGGTTAAAATTTAAATCTGGTAGAGAATTATTAATTCACAATCACTTTTGAAGATAAAGTATGCATCCTTATGCTTTTAAGATGTTAGTCTACTCTGTGACTCCAGTGCAAGCTATTTGTTTTTACAAGTGGTGTGTATGTGTGTGTATGTGTGTGTGCGGGGGGGAACAGTGAAATTTGCACAAGATAGCTTCCTCATTACCAAGTGTCTTAAATTACATGTAATATTGTTTAATTTATTCTCCCTATGCTTTCAGTGCAAAGCTAAAACAAAAACAAACCCTAAAGAGTCTCACAGTTCTATTACAGTGAATGAATACCGAGAAATGCAAGGCGGAATTGAAAAATCCATCATGCATTTATTAGCAATGTTATTTCACTACCTTGTCATCAATGTTCAAAACCAGTACCACAACTGAAGGCTCAGGGGAAATATGGGAGCTTTATATACAGGCATATTCTTTAGCCTTTGATAAGGCTCTGCTGTGATAATTCTTGGAGAAAATAAAATGTCACGAAGCAATGGACAAAAAGAGCTTACAGGATAGAAAGCAAATCCAATGAAAGGAAATAGTATCACTTTTGACAGGAAGGTCAGATGCAGTAGGAAGATAATTTCCTTACCGGTGACACAATTTCCATAAAGTCGCAAAGCTAATTGCCTACAATGCCAATTATATGAGAAGTCTCAGGCTGGGCCAGTAGTGACCTGCCAAAAGGAAGCTCAATATTGAAAAGGCTGCCAGGTGCTTTGGCCAAATAATTGAGTACCTATCTATAAGTCTGGAAGTCTCACAGGAAACACTAACTTTTCAGATCAACAGTGTACTACAGGTTCAGTTCCTGAAAAATGCAGGACATGCCCACAAAGGGCCTAACACAGAAACAGGTACATTGGCTCAAAATGCAGTTTTCACACAGCGGGGTTCGGTCAGCATCTCGAAAGGGAAAGAAAGCAAACCAAGTTCCTGAAACGATTTTCCAGCTTATTCATTTGTTAGTATTCTATACAATACAGGGCCTTGTCCTTGCTCGCTTGCTGTAAGTAGCACAGGACGACCCTCCTGTTTCTTGTCTCTGTGTCAACCCTTTCTCCTCCTGCCTTTGCCAACATTACAGGAAGTTAACAAATGGATCTAATTACCACAGTGGTTTGAGGCTTGCTGGCTTTTTTCCCTTCCAGCTGTAAAGACGTCCTCAGACTGAGTTTCACATTCAGAACTGCTGTCAAACTCTCACTTTAATGGGCACTTAAATTTAATGTCAAGCTGATGCCTGTGGAAGACCTTGATTAAATTTGCAAACAGTAGACTCTAACCAAACCAGAATTTTAGAGTTGTCTTATTTTGCCTTTCAAGATTAAATCCCAGAAGTTTTCCTTTCTTCTTTGCAAGGAATTACAGAAGCTTGCTGAATATCAGTAAGACAGCAAAGTGTAACAAGTAAACCGCCTGCATGCTTTCAGAAAGAGTAGAAATCCCTGAGCTTATTAAGATTCTATATGAATTACAGATTTTTCCCATTGTTTTACTTCATTCCCAGCTCATTCAAAATCTATAACTATTCACTTTTATGACTCTATAATCTAAGCTGTCCTAATAAGTTTACTTAAGATCTTCTTAGTATTCTTTTATGTATATGTCAATTAAGAGTTTTGTATTGTGTGAACAGAGTGAGAAACAGAAGCATGAAAGGAATGTAATAGAATCTTCACTAACAATATCATTACAGCCACACTATCAACCAGCTACAAATTGCCAACCTAGTTTCTTTTCTCTCTTGTCTTTGATAACCATACAGCTTCTCTTCCTTGAATAGGTAATAAAGACTAGAACTTAAAAGATCTGGAAAGCACACTTTTCTATTAGTTACTGTTTGGAAATGCAGCTGCTCACTTTTTGATTTTTCTTTAGGGTTCTTCCTGAATCATCTGATTCACACAGGTCTGCCTTCAAAGAAAACAAATCAAAATTGTCAAGATCTGTGAAGCATGAAAAATAAATTGCTTTTCCAACTCTTAAAAGCACCAGAAAAACAAATTTCTATTTTCTTATGTAAACCTCTAAACCCTATCCTCTAAGCTATAAGCCTTACCACATGTTTACACATTCTGCATAATACATTGTGTGAGGTCAGACTTTATTTCTAATTTTAATTTGTAAAATGACTAACCCTTAAGCCAAGCTTATTTTGGACTTTGACTAGACACATACATACATTTTTGACACAGACTCTTGGGCTACTAGTTTGAGATAACAGTGCACGAAGACACATCTACACTGCAGTTAATGGTGCTGTCCTTTTAGCTGATGGGAGCACAGATTCCACAAAAGGCAGTAGAAAGACAGCCTTGCAAAATGCTGCCAGGTATGTCATCCTGTCAGAAGATTTGCTCATTGAACTAAGCAGTGACTGCCTCTAACATTTCCATATTAGTTCAATGGAGACCTACATTGCTATGCTTAGCTTTGTACAGCTAACTCAATTCTATCATCGGAACATCTCTGTGCAGCACTGAGGCTTAATATTAAGACAAACTTGCCTTACAGTTTTGCAGTTCCTGGATAAAATGTGCAGCCGTCAGATTTCTGTTGGCAATGAAAATGATGAAAGGAATAGCAGGTGGTTTCAGAAGCGAGAGATTTATAGGGTATTTTGTAGCAGGATGTTACTTTCTGAACTAGGTTATAATAATTCGCAAAGACAAGTAAAATTCAGAGTATTTTATATAATTATGTTAACTATTGCAAGTAATATTCAACTCAAGAACCTAAAATGAAAACCCAGTCAGCTAACACTGTGAGGTTCTGATGATCTGATCTTGGTTAAATCTTTTTTGCATTGATGTAGCTTATCACATGATTAGAAACATGGTACTTGGCAATAGTTCAGTTTTATGAATATGGTGTCTTTTTTTTTCTCAATTTAGTTAGTTGGTACTTCTTTCCTCTGGAATCAAATACTTTCTTTACCAAAAAAAAAAAAGTGGACTGAAATAGACTAATACTTTCTAGCCAAGATGAGAGTAAAGAAAAGTTATGTTTCAAACTGGTGTTCTAAGGGCCCTGAATGCGTGATGCATGGGCAGACTCCAGGGAGGATATCAGATAGATAAGGGCATCTACAGGACATTGCTCAGCAAGTGCTCATCAACTCCACCTTACCTCCAGATCAAAGCAGCCAGAGCAGGACACTGCTGTAGATGGTCTGTAATCACCCACAAGCAGCTACTAAATTCTGACATTGAAAGGAGACTGTGTAAATGAAACTCATGATCGAAGCTAATGAATTTGCCAAATCCTTTTCATGGCAACCGCAGAAATGATAAGGTATTAAGTAGGAGAGTACTTTGTTCGGAAGGTAGAGCAGCACTTCATCATTATAAGTGTTTTGCTTTAGTAAATGTCTGTACATTATGAACCTGCCCCCCGAGTGAAAGGAAAATTACAGATAGGAGGGACCACCACATAAAAACTCTTCTAGCTCTTAAAAATATTACTGTCTATACAAATTGTTTTCCTTGAATTTCTAATTCACAATTGATTTCAGTGGAGTTTGCTGTATTCAAAGAAGCCAACAGCTTTTCCTTGCTGATGTAGAATAACCAAAATAGGCCAGCTTAGGAGAGAAAATTTGCAGTTTAAAATTTTTCATTTGTGATTGGCAGTATATCAGATATCCTGAAATACCAATTTAAAACTGAGGTAATGTGCAATCACACCAAACGCAGCCACATACATTTTGACATTTATTAATGAAAATGGGCTAGTAAGTGATTAAATCAAAATTTCCATGACATATAGGGTTAAAATTAAAACTGATTTTCAGCTGCAATGTTTCTACTTGTCCTGTTTCTGGAAGTTCTAACCAGTCTTGAAATTACCTGGACTGCAACTGGAACTTCTTTATCCACTATATCTTGCTTCCACAAAAAAAAGGAAATATTTTTTACTTGCAAATTTGACAAGTCTGTAGATGAATTGGGATAGCATAGAATAAAGAGTTAAAAGCCTAAAGAAAGATAATGAGTGAAAAATGATTGCTAGCACATCCAGGAATCACTGACTGAAGTAATCTTCAAGGTCTTCCATGTCCATTTCCATCGAGGAATTTAAGGAGGCCAGAGCAGAAGAGGCATCCTTGTTTCTCTGGACACTTGGTTTGGGCTGAGGAGTTTCTGGCTGAACAGGTTCCTTCCTGATGTCTTTGCCACCAGTTAGAAGCCGTTGGCTCTCAAAAAAGAACTGGTTAGGATGATTCAAAGAAAACCCACAATCATCCACCTGCACAGGGAAGCAAAGGACATCACATTAATTTATACGAAAGCCATAAATACAGGAGTCTTTTCAAAATATTCATGGGAAAATGGAATTACAATGTACATTTCCACAAATATTTTGAAGATCCCTTGTAAGGGTGTTTCAACATTGTACCAAGTCATCATTCAAAATTTAATACCTAAAACACGAATTGTCCTTTGTAGTAATTAGTCCACTGCTCCTGCCACTTCAGTCAGAGGGAGCTGTTAACCATCATAACCTAGACCCAAGTGTGCGCTTCCTCCAGGTCCCCATCTAGCTCTAGCACCATATCCAACATCAACGCAAAATGAAACATTTCATTTAACCCCTTTTTGCACACACTATCATTCATTCTACAGGGAATGCAAAATCCTTTCTAAGCTCTGAATCTCCAATTCACAAGGTGCCCTCGATTCTGGTGATTTACAAACCACTACTAACTCTTACTGGTTCCCTTAGGGAAAAAAAGAACTAAAGGCAAAGTAATGTATTTGGGAAACAAACATAGGGGTGTGTTTGTGTGCACTCATGGGTGCTATGTGAGGTTTAGTGATACTCAGGGATCTGTATAATCCATTACTGTATTCCTACTTTTAAATAAAGGGTGCTTTTTCCCAAAAAAGTAACCTTGAATTAACCCTGGGTCACTTTTGATACTGATTCTTGATATCATTTTAGAGCTTATCTGTAAGTCAGGCAGAGGCACTCTGACATAGTATACTACAAACCCAGAGGGAAAACAGCTAATTTAATGTAATTTCTTCATCTTGGTTTTACTTTTTAGAGAAAATAATTTGCTGGTTGTAACTGTCACTGAGATTTAATGCACATATGCTTAGGATTTCTTTTTCTAAAATATCACTAATGTCTAATTCTGAAAATCATTTCCTGTTGCTCTTCACTCTGTTTGGTGTTATGAACCTAACAATATTTCTGATGTTTGGAGGCTTAACAAGCACTCCTTTACCTGCTTTGCATTCGAAAGTGTATTCATAGAACACAAAAACAATAACAGCAGCAAACAGTAGAAAATACTAATGTGCCAGACATTGTTCTAAGTGGTCCAAACACACATGCAGATGGTTCTAATTCCCACAACAGACTTTAAAGGGTAGGGCTCGGTATTTTCCCAGTTTCTCAGATGAGGGATCTCAGACGATGGAAGTCGGTGTCATGCCGCAGCCACACTGTGGCAGGGCTGAAGACAGGAAATGAAGAAGCAGGGTCCCCTCTGATAACCAGCATGCTCTGCTGCCTGTCCTTGTGTTGCAGTCAATCATTTTCTATTGCTATCACTCCTTAAAAGTTGTAAACGCTTGGAAGCTCTTGGTGAGTTCTACAGAGATGCAACATAAAGGCAAGATCACAACAGCAAGACTCCAAAATCTTTCTTCTGATGTGTGAATGTGAACCTCCTGCATAAATTGCTGTCTTCGCATTCAACCAAAGGGTTGGAGTTCATCATGTAGCAGCAAACTTAAATTCTTACCTTCTGTAGTTAGGTATTTTTATTGTCAACCCTCCTTTTGAAAGTTACTTTTTGTGGTGTTTTTGGGAGAGGATTGTATTTTTACTTTTTTTTTTGAAATTAAGACAGCATTATAATTGCTTTATACTTATAGTTACTTACCAATCATTGTACATCTTGCTGCACTGAAGAGCCTTGCATACAGCAGATAACTAACAAGTACCTGGACCGCTGAACCGAGAATTAACCAATGTATCCATGGTACATATGAACTGGAGGCTTACCAAGCACAAAGCTGTTACAGCATGGTGGCTTTTCAGCTTACATGAGTAACTGAATCTAAAGAAATTTCCAGTCCTACTAGTAAGTAAACTACTTAGAAGCCTCACTCAAGAATGGGCAGTGAAAAGGGTCACAGACAAAGGTGTATTACAAATAACACCACAGTTGAGAAAAGATCCAGCTGAGAGGATCAGGGGAGACTGGGAGGACATGGCTGTCTGAGGTGGCTCTGGAAGGATGGGGACAATGACAAGCTGTAATGATGAGGGAAAAGGCAATGCAAGCAGCAGGAGCGCAGGAGGTGGCGAAGAGAGAATGTGCTAGGAAGGCAAGTAGTTCACATACCCTGGTGTGAAAGGCACATAAAAAGGAGTAGCAGGAAACAAGGCCAGAAGGACTGGCAGGAACCACACCTTTGAGAGCCTTGAACACCAGGATAAGTAGTCCTGGCCTAATTCTTAAGGCTACAGGGAATCACTAAAAACCCTTATGAAAGGAGAGGGTGTGTTTAGAGCTGTGCATAATCTTAAGGTAGAGTAAAATGGATTGGCAGGGGGTAAAGGAGCTGCTGTTATGGTCCAAAATGAACCATCCTGTGGAGTGGGCCAGCAAACATGTAGGGTCTGTTTTGGTAATAGCTCAGCATTCTCTGGTTTGGATAGGTTGTTACTTTGTATAATAACTTCACTGTGTAGTAGACTGACAGTGTACACACTGATGTATTTTAAGTGACTGCCTAGATGACTATGAATAGATTTAATGTTGCTTTTTTACTTTAAAACAAAGTTGGCAACTTATTTTAAAAATATTTCTTGAATGTTCTATGATACATAATTATTAACAATGGTGGGATTTTAACTATAGTTTTATGAAACTATATGGCAAAGAAAATTTGAAATTGAAGACTTCAGGGACCCTTTAATTTTAACCTCTTCCAAATAAACTGAGGCCTAATGAAGTTTCACAACTTTTTAAAATGCGCTGACCTAGTAACTAGTTCTGAGTTAAAATTCAGATCTTTTAACCAGATCATGTCTTTTTTTGAAATCTGTGCTGAGGTTAAATGCACAACCAAAGTGACCATGATATCTTCATCATAAATATTATTTCTAGAGCTAGTCTTGGCTTTCAAGATTATAAAAAATACAGTTGCTTGGGTCTGGTGCGGTAACTTAGAGGCTAAAGTCCTTGCCTAGACACCAGGAACCCATATGGGCGCCGAGTCTAATCCCACCAGCACCAATTCCCACCCAGTTCCCTGCTTATGGCCTGGAAAAGCAGTTGAGGACGGCCCAAAGCCTTGGGACCCTGCACTCATGTGGGAGACCCAGAAGAGGCTCCTGGCTCCTGGCTTTGGATCAGCTCTGGCCATTGAGGGCGCTTGGGGAGTGAATCAATGGATGAAAGATCATCCTCTTTGTTTCTCCTGCTCTCTGTGTATCTGACTTTGCAATAATAATAATAATAAATAGTTGCATTACATCATATAAAAAGAACTTAGTAACCTTGTGCTAACAACAATATATTGGAGTTAGAACCTTTTGTTTCAAGTTATGAAAGTTTTCAATACACAGACTGTCACAGAGAATAACTCAGTGTTTAACTTATATCGGATCTTAATATCAGTATTATAATAATTTAGTTTATCTGAAATGGAGATAATAGTTTCATTTAGAGGGCTGTCATGGAGGGAACTAAAGGTATATGAAAGCACAAAGGAAGAGCTGCTGGTCCTATGAAATCTAAATTAAATGCTTTAGAAAGAGTCAAGAAATGCATGCTGCTTTAAAAAGACTGAATTTCCAGAAAAGACAGATCTTGCTCTGGGTATATTAAGTTCCTTGTTCACTAGAAAGAAATTCAAACTGGAAATGATTGATGGGGCACATAATGAGTATGGCTCAACAAAGATGAAGTTGAATTCCAGTTGTAAAATTATACTCTTACATTGAAAGATTAGCAAGTAAGTGGCATTTAAATGTCTTTATATTTTTAAATTAAGAAACACACATTTGCATTAATCCTCATTTTTACAAAGATCTATTTACTTCTATGAAAGGTGAGAGGACATCTCTCACTCCCCACTTCTCTTTTACAAACTGCTACCTCACCCCCCAAAAGCCTCCCACAGCCACGAAGCAGGTCATAGCCAGAAGCCTGGTTTGAATCTCCTTATGGGGAGTGGGGTCCCAAGAGGCGGGAGCAGCACTTCATCCAGGATGCAGGTACCCCGGCGGCTGCCTAATGCACTGCACAGTAACACCTGCCCTGTCTCACTGTAAGTACTGCTTTGTTAGAAACTACAACAGTGCCACGGGCCTTAAAACGAGACTTGAACCATGACTCTGTGTGGTTTTATATTTTTGACTTTTTCCCCTTGGATCTGCAATTCTCCTTCTTTACTCACTCTGTGATGCTATTTGTGGTCTAATCCATTGCTTGATACCAACATGAAATGATGAAAAGCTTCCTTCATTTAATAGAATTCCATTTTCTCTTAGCCTGGGTTCTTTGTCTTCTGATTATGTAGGATAGCCATTCAGTGTGTTTTCACCTTAAGAAAAATAAACTTAGGTGTTTTTCCCTCCAAGAAGGGGAAAAACATAAACTAAACAATTAAATGTTTTTAAATTGTCTCCTTTTTAAAAAAATGTAATTCAATCTATATCTAAATCCCCTATTTCATGTATTTCTGCTCGAGAGCCAGAAACAATTTCCTTTATTCCTCTAAAATATACAATTTGCTTTATTCCAGATTTGGGAATATTTAGCATAATTTTTTTTCTGCGTGCCTTGTTTCTTTTTCTAATCAGCATACTACTGACAATGTTTTTCTTTGTGTTTGATTTTTTAAAAATCCTGTGTACATTGCTAGTTACTAACATTCCGTGAGGCATTTTCATCCTGCCACAAAATAAGATCTAAGGGGAAGGATCTGTAAGGGATCACTGTAGGTGGGGTTCACAGACAAGTGTCGGGGAGTCTTGATAGGTTACATTATACCTTCAAAGAATAGGAAGTCACTAAGGGCTTGCTGACATAATTAGATTCCTATTTTTTTTTTTAATTTATTTTTATTGGAAAGGTGGATATACAGAGAGGAGGAGAGACAGATCTTTCATCCACTGATTCCTCCCCAAGTGGCTGCAATGGCTGGAGCTGAGCCAATCTGAAGCCAGGAGCTGCTTCCAGGTCACCTATGTGGGTGCAGTGTCCCAAGGCTTTGGGCTGTCCTCAATTGCTTTCCCAGGCCACAAGCATGGAGCTGGATGGGAAATGGGGCTTCTGGGATGAACCAGGGGCCCATATGGGATCCTAGGTGTATGCAAGGCAAAGACATTAACCTCTAGGATACTATGCCAGGTCTAGATTCCTATTTTAAACATCACTCCAGCAGATAAGGAGAGAAAGGACTAAAATGAGTACATGTTGGGAAATGAGTAAGGAAGCTGCTGCAGTGATCTCAGTGTGGGATGAAGGGGGCTTCCAGTCCTGCATTCTAATTGAGATCAATAACTATGATCATGTTTTTTTTTTTTTTTAAGATTTCTTTATTTGGAAGGCAGACAATTTTCGATCCATACTTCACTTTCCAGATGGTTGCAATGGCCGAGAGGCACCAGGCCCAAATCTGGAGCTAGCAGCTTCTTACAGGTCTCCCATGTGGGTTTCAGGGCCCAAAAACTTAGGTAGTCCTCCACTGTTTCTCTAGCAGGGAGAGCTAGCCCAGAAGTGGAGCAGCCAGGATGTGATCCTGTGCCCATAGAGGATGCTAGAGACACAAATGGCAGCTTTATATGCTGTGTTAGAATGCCAGTCCCAGCCCTTGAGTTATTACAAAGATGAAGCATACTCTAAGTATATATACTTATGTAAGTATGTAAGATTATGTAAAGGGACTGGTATTGTGGCATAGCAAAGAAAGTCACTACCTGCCTAAGACTATGGCACTGCATTTGGGTGCTGGTTTGAATCCTGGCCATCCTACTTCTTATCCAGCTCCCTGCATATGCCTAGGATAAGCAGTGGAAGATGACCACATTTCTTGAGCTAATGCCACCCATTTGGCACACCTGGAAGAAGCTCATGGCTTCAGCCTGGCAGAGTGCTGGCTGTTATGGCCATTAAGGGAGTAAACTCTTCCCTCCCATCACTCTTAAAAATAAATAAATGAATCTTTAATACAATGTGTGATAAGCTTGAACAAGATTTATGTGTAGAAATTTATAGGTTGGTGAAAAATTATGTTTACCTACTTGGAAAATAAGCACTCGGAATTGGTGTCTACAGAAAGTCTTTCCAAAGAAATTATTTAAAATTAAAACAGTAATCTACATCAGGCCTTGTGTTTTCACATGGACCATACAGAATTAACTGAGATAATCAGGTTTCAAACAGGCCTGCTACTGAAATCTACTAAAGGCATCCCTGTGAGCGTTTGCTTGGAATCCTCACATTTTGTACCCAACGACCATAACATGATAAACCTATACCTCATATTTCTGCCACAGCAAATGTAGATTTTTGCAAGAATGGAGGCGGTTGGTTTTACCTATGGGAGATTTGGGTTTTAATCAAGAGGTTTTGTAATGACAGCTTATAATGAGGCAGCTGGTATTACCAAGAAAGCCATATGGACCTATCACAGTGCTGCTGCAAATGGTATCAATTAACTGGTTCATTTTCAAAACTTTCATTTAAGTAGGTTTGATCACAGAGGCCCTAGGAAAATAAACAGTTTTATTGCAGGGGGTAAGGATGGCAGAAATCTGACAATAAAAATGAAATCTAAGTTTAAATTTGAAAAAGAAGACAGTTACATCCAAACATGTAAACTGAGACATTTAGTGGATACAAACAGCCTTTATTACTTCATTGATTTATATGATGTTTAAATTAGGCTATTCTATATGTAAGAATTCAGATGAATGAAGATACTACAAAGACTTGCAACTAAGTAAGGTGTAAAAATCGGCTATAGTATCAATACTGTCAGTAATAATCAATAGGAGATACTACAAAGGCAGATCTGAACTATCAAAAAATCCTTTCCAATGATTGTGTCACAAACTCAATTTGAAGCCTAATTTTCAGCTTGCTTAGTAAAAAGGAAAGAGATTTCACTTTGTGAAAAATCTAAAGTCTTTTAATTAAACAGGTTCACCAGTGACTAAGAGGATATAGAAAATTAAAACTCTGAAGCTGGTAGCTGAAGCAAGTTACTGGATGCAGCCTTTGCAGGACTGCGATCCCACGAACCAGTGCTGAAACAAACCAAGCATGGGCTTATCTGATGGCACTCTAACTCTAAAAAACAAGAAGGATTTTTGATGACAGTATTATTTAATCTTTTAAATAAATTACATATAGAAGAAAGGACTGGACTCAGTAGAACTGGACAATGGCTCCAAATTTTCCATTAATCAGCTATGCTAGACTAGACAAGTCACCTCGGACTGCTAGATCTGCTTTTCTTTTTAGGTGTGTACCATGAAGTACCATGAAAAGATACTCTTGCAATTCCCTCTACATTTAACTAGTTTATGAATCTAGACAGGGATATATGGATAAACGTAGTAGTTACTACAAACCAGGCACCAGATACCACAGAAGACTAACAGTTGTGGTTAGGCTCGCAGCTTTAAATGCAATAGACAGCCTGGGTTCAAATTCAAGTTCTGCAGCAGCATGACCCGAGCTTCTCTATGGTTTATTTGCAAATGAAATAATGTAGCTCCTAGTTGTGGTGGTACAAATAAAAGGAACTACTGTGTTGCTAGTACTTTGTGCTGTGCTGGGCATACAGTCAGGGTTCTACAGATTTCGGTTATTTTGGTCACTAGTAATATCATCGAAATTTTTTTCCAAAAAATATGAAGTCTTGTATCTATGCAACAGAATTTTTTAAAAATGTAGTGACTAGTGACTAGATAAAACTTAGCTTTTTTTTTTTTTGTGGAGGGGTGTCATGGATCCCTTTGAAAATTGCTAAACACCAGTTTCAGACTTCAGACAAATGCACGTAGATACCCAGTGACTATTTTAAATGCATGGATCTCCAAAGTCCATTCAGACGTCTGTTTCAGGTTAAGAATGTCTGCCCAGGATCACAGATGGCAAACAGGAAAGGGGGCTGGATTTGAGCTGCAGATGTGATCCCTTGGCCTGCACAGGACTTTAATCTGTCAGTGTGAACACCTCTAACAGGACGTACTCTTCAATGCAACACAGTTCTATATTTGTGGGTATTAATCTAAGCTAGCTTTCTTTTTCTGAAATTTGCTTCATTCTGTGTAGATCTCTGAGTCTGAACCCCCTTGCTTTATATATTTCAAAACCAACTCAGCCATTCAGCACTCCAGTACTCTAATTAGACCTCTTTAATACTAAAGGGGAGCCATGATATAAACCAAATACATTTTCCTTACTCCCTGGCCACTAGGAATGGAGTCCATACTTGCCATGCAAATAAACATGACACTTGGGATAAGATTAGAATAACATGAGGTGGCAGTCACAAACGAGAAGGCTGAGATTTTCTGCAAGGAAAGTAGCACAAGCTTTTGATTCTTCCTGGCAGCTATGGATCAAATCTGGCCCACTAACTTACATTTACTAATACGATCACAGGCATGTCTGTTCACATATATTTTCTGGGGTTAATTTTACAATATATTGGCAAAGTTTAACAGCTGTGACAGAGACACTATGGATGCAAAGTCTCAAATGTTTACAAGCTAGCTCTTCACAGAAGCTAACTGACCGTAAAGAGTGTCAGGTGCCAGCTGCAACCATGTAAGACTGTCTCATGAAGTAGATGTTCTTAGTTACAATATTCCTGGGAATGGGAAGTCCAAGCTTAGTCTCTGACCTTTCTATGAATTTTATAAGTTATGAAATGCCACGTAATAAATCCCTTTCTTCGGAAAAGAGCTGAAATAGTTTCACTGTTGCGACAAAAAACCCTGGATAAAATGAACACAAGACTGAGAATTATACCACAAAAATCAAAAAATTTCACTTACATTATGTATCATCTCGAAGTACTTCTGACAAGCCACTTGATAATGTGTCCCCTTGACTAAATCCAAAATCTAAAATGAATGAGGAAAAAGAAAAAAAATTAGGAATTAGAAATTAAGTTTCTTTTAACGCACTGTAGCTCACAATTGTTGGCCTTTACATATCTTCATTCTAGACAGGGCACCCAGTAAGTCAGGTAGCATGATGTATTTCTGCAGCTTGGACATTGTGATAATTCTGACACTATGTAGTAGCTGTTAGGTCAGTGCTAAACCAAGATGACACGAAATGGTAAGCGAGCTTTCTGACCTACCAACTGTGAATTTTAACAACTTTACCTTGATAACAAGATGGAAACAGATACTAGTATTACATTACATCTCTGGTAGTTATTGTCAGAACAGCATATTGCAACATCTTTTCCAAAATTGCAGATATAAATCTAGTAATCTAATGGTTGTTTCATGAAGCAATCAAGTAAACATTTTACATTTGTGTTTTGCACATTACTGGTTTAAACAGATACAGCATAAAATACTGCTGTGTGCCCATCAAGAAAATTTAATGTAAACCCTTTAGAAGAATGTCTGGAGAGGGAATGCTTTTACTTTCAATCAGATTTTGTCCTTTTAGAAATGAAATTATTTCTGGTAAAGCTAAGCAGAATATGAGAGTGGATAGTCTATTCTGAACACCTATTAGGAACGTCAGCCTATCTTTTGTAAATACAATTTGCTTTCCAATTCTATTTTATGTAATCTCTTCAAAATGGTACAAACTCCGCTCCTTATCAGCAAAGTGCAATAGCAGTTGAAATTTGTGAAGTATCATCACCTCCCTCCCTCACTCAAATAAATAAAAAATATATTTGCTCTATTTATCAAATGCAGTAAAATTCTGGAATTAAGAGATAACCCCCAGAAGTAACTCTGGAGAAATGTTAATTTCCACCTCATTTCAAAAGGCTGACCTTCCTGGCAGAAAAGGAAATGAACACAAAGTCTCAGGTTACTGCTTTCCTCATTATTAAGTATAGCTTTACATCTTTTCACGAAACACAGGAAAATTACAGCTGCAGAACGGGGGTCATATAAAACTGAGAATGTGCTCTGATTGTCTTATAGATTACATTTCTGAATTTCACATCACCTTTTATTAAACTTATAGGAAATATCTGTGTAAATGCCAACCAGTCATAAAACCCAAAATCCTGCCTGTCTGCTGGTCTACTTTCCTTGCATTGTTTTAGAACAAAAATCAACTTTGCTAACAGTCTAAACTCATATTCCCTGATGCTTTTCATACAAATATCCAAATTCTATTGAGATGAACTTATAATTAAAGGCAAACATACATGATGATACATTAATATCTGAGCATCAGAATTTAAGAAGGAAATATTTCAAATATAAATGATGCCATTAATTATCTGAAAAATGATTTATAAAAATCGTGGTATATAAACTTTATGAAAACAATTCAGCATTTTACTTTGTGTGTAGAACTGCATTTAAATGTTTTACAAAGTAAATACATATGATATAAATGTTAATAATGGATAAGAAAGACTACAAAGAAATGTGATACACATACATGGACAATTAGTAAAGAAATCTGACAGAAAAGCCACAGAACCTGAGAAATTTAGATTTATTGAAAATGTTAAGGTTCTGTCAAAAATAAAATTTAGACTAATCAGAAAAACCCACCACATTTCCATAAAGGAACCTTCCTTATCTTCTAGGAAGAATACTTAATGGACTTGAAGCCAAATTGTAATCAGAATTATTTAATCATCTATCCATAAGCAGCTTCATCAATCATGTCAGGCATACTTGAGGTGAATGAAAGTTTCTATAAATATTAAGTTGTGATGAGAAACGAGACAATGACAGTTTCTTTGGCTAGGAAAGCTATTCAAAGAAACAACTGTAGGTGTAAAGAGATAAAGCAGGGAAGGAGAAAGAATAGTAAGTGAGTAGATGAAAAGTCAAGAGAAAACTGCTCTGAGCCAATTTTAGCCATTGGGAGGAGATACTATTTTAATTCCAGAGAATATGAAATATATCCTTTTAATGCAGATATTTGTCTTGAAACAACCATTTACTGCAGGAAGAACTTAAAAAATCATATCCAAATTAGTTATCTTACTTTCCTTAAAAGAATATTAAAAACTCCTTAAAATTCCCACAACTAATAAAGTTGTCAATTTCAAATTGTGGTCTTTATTACAGAGGCTTAAGAAAAGAGAAGGTCTTGCGGACTGATGGAGTTTGACTCACTGAGGAAGAGGAGGAGTCCTACAACGTTGGAAGCACAGGAGCAAAGAACTGTCGGGAACAGCATCATTCTGCCTGCAACGCTGGGAGGAGACCGGCGGGCAGGAGCAGAAGGCATCACAAGGATCCAGGAACAAAATGGCAAATGCAGTGGTGGGAAGAAGCGATCTAATCTGGTGGCAGATGGATTTTCCACTGAATAGCCACACGGTACTTGTGAGAAGCAGATATTTTGCATGAAAATGCCCAAAGGCATTTCCCCCAATGTTTTAAAATAATGCATTAGATGTATCACTCAACCTTCTCCTTATCACAAAAGATTCTGTTAGTAAAAACTTTTTAAACTCAAGCCAACAATATCAAATTATTGTAACATAAATGATACACAACCAAAAAAACTTACAACTGACTAGCCACTAACATGATGAACAACAGATGCTTCTGTGCAGAACATGACACCTCAAGTCTCTTACTGTTAACCACAGTATCTGCTTTGCTGATTGCAAAATTTTCACAAGCAACTGAGACTTTCTGTACTCAAGCAATACTGTGTTAAGATACTCTGCAGGTGTCTGTACTTTTGAGATTGGTACCAGTAGAGCCTGCTGGTGGATGAATCCAAATGTAAGAAAGCCAAAAAAGAAGGGGAAGGAGAATGACGCTATGAGCAAGACAGCAAAAATCAGTTTCTGCTACAGAAGCAAAGTGACAAACTTAGAAAGCAAGCCTGAAATCCAAGAAGCACAGGTGCATAAGGTATACCCTCTGGAGCATAATGTGTGGGTCGAATCAGAACACTCCACAGGGTGAAGAAGTCACATGAGGATGAAGTCCGGCAATGGTACTTTTTAGCAATGCTTCTTTTGCTAGTGCAACAGTGAAGGTCCTAACTTACACCGTGACAAGCAGCCCATTGTCCTTCTTACATTACCCCCAGGCTGGCAGCAGGGCTGAACTAAGGTGGGAGCCTCAGGAACTAATGCAGAGATGGATGCTGATTTAAGAACAGGAGATGAAAAGAGACCAAAGGAAACAGGACATACAGAAAGCAACACCAAAGTGTAACTCCACAGTGTTTCACTGAGCTATAACACTGTTTCTGGCTGTTCTGTTTTGGAAGAACCGAAGCACACCATGATTTCCCCTAAGATGAACTCTCCAAAGGTAAGACCAAACTGATTCAAGGGCCAACTGAGGGCCAGGACTACGTGTACATCCAAACAGAAACCTATTTGTAAACATACTTACTTCTATGAAAATCTAATATTGTTCAAATGGCAGTATGACTGTTATTAATGATCAATATATTCAGACTGAAATATATAAATAGAACAATCTATTTATTGTCCTAATCTGATTCTAATCTAGTTCCTCAGTTAGCAAAAGGCTAAGAAAAACTCAGGACTGATTTTTAACTAGTGTTATATTTTGGTAATGCATATCCTTTTCTCCCTCTATATTTTTAACTCTCTAAATGAAAGTTCATCAAAAAATACTGTTAAACTGCCCTATTTATTTTTTTTCAAATCTATCAACCTCACAAAAAAAAAAAACTTGCATCATGCTTGTATCTGCTACATTTGATAAAATATTAATTATACTGGTACTTCATATAATTGATTTTCAATAAGAATTACTAATTGTTTTTTCCCCTGTATGAAAATTCTACTATAGAGATCTACCAAGATATCCCTGCAGTTGAGGAATAAAGAGCAGATAAGGTGATATTTTTCTGATTAGATAATTGATCACAGCCAGGTGAGATTCTCTTGCAATGACCACCAGGATCGCTCCGGAAGCCCCCCTAAAAAATTAGATCAGATAAACAGAGACCAATAAGGAAAGCTTAAAACAGACAGGAAATAGTCAGTTTGGACTCCCATATACCTAACTAGGTAGGACACAGATTAGTTGCTCCTCACCAAGGCATGGCTTATTTGAGGTATAAACCTGTTTGGACTGTCCTAACTTTCATGTAGTTCAGTAGAAATCGTACTTGAATACTTTAAGCTGCTAAATATAAAAATGAAAATAGACACGAGACGGCTTAGTACCCTATAACCATTTTAAGGTGTATAGCAGCTGGTTGTATATAAACTATAATTGAGATGTCAATGAAGTAGTTACAGGATGTGGTTGAGAACTCACATTTTCTAACATATTGGTCACTCAATACCATGTCAGTTAACTTCATGATGTTGTAAATTGTTGTTGAAATTGTGTAGGGGCTTTTCGTTGGAGGGGATGATATTCTGCCAGCCCTACTTTTAGACCAGGGATGGTTTCCCAATGAAACTGTTGAATTTATCTGGACAATAAGATGCTGGACTCTCTGCATGGTCCATGCCTGCAATGGAGGAATCATGACTGGTTATGGTCTGTACTACTGTAACAATGTGGAGGAATTCAATATGAGGGGAGGGTTTGGGGAGGGGTTGGGGGAATCCCAGAGCCTATGAAACTAGATCATAAGATGAAATAAATGTAGTTTAAAAAAAACACAGGTGGGAAATGCTGTCTTACATTCTTATATACACATAAACCCACTCACAATATAACAGAAATATAAAAATCATTTTAAGCAATACTTCCTTCTCTCCTCCTAATATGCTCTAGTATCTCCTGCCAGCTGCAACTCCCTTTTTTCCTTGTGCATCAATGCCTGCCGATGAGACTCAGTCTTGGCAGCCGCACATCGCCACCTGCCCATCCTTGGCTCTGGTGAGTGGAATGCTGTACTGCTAAGTGCTGTATTCACCAATTAAGACAGCTAGTCTGTCCCGAATTCAAGG